GGAGGGTCAGAGAAAAAGAGGAAAACCCCCAACAAGATGGATTGGCCAAGTGGCAGCATCGATGGACTCAAGTATGGCAACAGTAGTGAGGTTGGCCCAGGATCGGGCAGTGTTTCATTCTGTTGGGCATAAGGTCGCTATGAGTTGGTACTGACTCAGTGGCACCTAACAACAACAACATAATGTGATGCCTAAGGAGCGTTGGTATTGTCGTGGTTAAGAGTTGGCCTGCTAACCTCAATGCCAGCAGTTTGAAACTACCAACCATTCCACAGGAGAAGGATGATACTTTCTGTTCCCAAAAAGTTTTACAACCTTGAATACAATATGCATGGTCGCTATGACTCGAACCAACTCCAGGACATACCACTACCACCAATGTAATGGCTGGAACTGTGGTTGCCTTGGCAGCGGCAAACCAAATTATTTCACTGACCTTTTATGACCTGTGGGCAGGTCATTTTAGGCCTTTGTTGTTGTTAAGTGCCAATGAGTCTGTTCCAGGTCTTAGAGACCCTTTATAGGGCTTCTGAGGGAGGGGTGGCTGGTGGGTTTGAACCACAAGGTCAGCAGTTCGAAACCACCAGCTGTTCCGCAGGAGAAAGATGAGGCTTTCTGCTCCCGTAAAGATTTACAGCCTCGGAAACCCTGTACAGGGTCTCTGTGAGTTGGAACCGACTCCACGGCACATAACAACGACAACCTTTCTATTAACAGTCCAGTGCTTATCCTACACCAAGACTGCTTTTAGACCTGGACTCAATATATAACGTCTCCTAGAATGCCTTTTGTGACATCTTTATTTCAGGTGCTGCAAGGTCTTTTCATTCTGTATTTTAATTGAATGTTTTGGCTCTTTTAATTAACTGTGAGCTCACTGAAGGCAGATATTCTACATGCCAAATATTTAAACTGTTGATTCCAGAGTAGGCACTCAACAACTTTGTGTTTAATAAATGATAGATAGATAAATCAATTTGTATTACTTTCTTCAGAATTTTTAAATTATTTCCATTAATTTTAATAGATTATTGTTGTTGTTGTTAAGTGCCATTGAGTCAGTTCCAACTCATAGCAACCCTATGTTGGGTTTCTGAGGAGCGGCTGGTGAGTTTGAACTTTCAACCTTGGAATTCAAATGACCTTGCAGTCCAGTGCTTAAACTACAGCACCATATCAGAGCGCCACTTAATAAAACACACGGCATTAAATATTTCATTGTTTCCCACTAAAATAAAGCATACTTAAGACTATTCTGAAATTCAACTAAAAATCATAAACTCACATTTATATGGTTTACTTAGAACTTTAAGGAAAGGGAACAATTAAAGATGTTTGCCCATCATAATTAATATAAAATCCTTATTGCATAAATAAAGATGATTTTACTGAATTAAGAACATTTTAATTTTGTTGTATGTAAACATTATTTATAGTTTTCTGGCATTGTAGGATAAATATTAGACTGCAAGGTTGGTGTGAACTGCAAGGTCAGTGGTTCAAACTCAACAGCATTTAACAACAAGAAGAAGTCAAATAATTTTGTTTAAATAAGCTTCCCTTCTTTATTTTGTTTCTTTTTCTCACATTTTTTGTAATTAGAAAAGTAATATACATTGTTAGTGTGTGCATTCGAGTCAGTTCAGACTCATAGTTACCCAGTATAGGGTGTCCAAAGTTTTAATTGTTTTCAAGAGTAGAAAGCTTCATCTTTCTCCCGTGAATACATATTAATTATAGATAATTAAGAAATTAAAAAAAATTCACTGCCACACAGAGTAAATCAATATATAACATTTTGGACTTTGTGTTTTCAGCCTTTTTCCTCTGTATCAGCATGCATTTTTACAAATGGGGTTATATTGAGCACATTGTTTTATAGATAATTTTTTCCATTAAATATTTAATGATTTACATTTCTCCATGTCTTTAGAATACTGTCTTGAATGACGACATAACTTCCTAACCATTCTAATGTGTATTAAGCCAAACCTCAGTTTTTGAAAATTTAATGTCATTTCTAAAACAACACTGAGATAAATATCCTTTTACTCGCACAGAAATACACGTAAAGATTGCACTCCTTAGAATCCAAAGTCTCAGAAGTGCATGTGCCGGTACGAAGTTTATGATCACCTTTAATGTTTTAGATAGAAACAACTCCCATCATTCTCCAGAAAGCTCTTAGCTGTTTATGCACAGTCCCAATAGGAGCGTACTCTTCATTCATTTTACCAAATCTCCATTTCCGCAAAGCTGGAGAGTCTTAATGGAATACATGTATATACATATCCATATATGTATGCAAAATAATTGACAGTTATCTTTTTCTCTTTGGTGTGAAATTGACTTTACTTTGAGTTTCCATTCTTCTATTTTACCTTCAAAAAGTTCTTCTATTTTACTTTTTATCGTATTTCATGTCTTCTGGTCCCTAAATTGGACAATAAGATTCAAAGTCATAATGACTGCCTCCTGAATTTAATCCAGAGTGAAATTGTGCATTGCATGTCACACAGCACAATGTCAAACTCACAGTAGTGGTTCAGGAATACAAGTTGACATAAAAACTTAATAAGATAATTAAAATAAAAAAATATTTCTTTCTTTCCAACAGATGATTCTGCTGCAGAGAGCTTCAATGGCAATGAGACTCTGGGGCACAGTTCTACTGCTTCAGGGGGAGCACACAGCAGGGAAATGGGAGACTCCAACAGTGAAGGCAAAACTGGGCTGGAGCAGGATGAGCAGCCACTGAACCTGAGCGACAGTCCCCTCTCAGCACAACTGACTTCGGAATACAGAATAGATGATCATAGCAGTAATGGAAAAAACAAATATAAGAACCTTCTAGTGTCTGACCTCAAGATGGAACGAGAGGCGAGAGAAAATGGAAACAAGGTGAGGTCATATGTTGATTCTAGAGAGTTTCTGAGTTGGACATGAAAGCTGCAAAAAATAATACATGTTTATATTGGAGATAAAGATTATTATCAATAAACATATTTTAAACCCCAATCATGCATTACCAAGAAACATAACCTTGGCTACTATGTTTCCATATAATACATGAGAGCTTCAAGAGGTTTGGAGGAAAATGGAATGAAAGAGGATGGACTTTTCCCACAAACTTTTTGAAGGCCCCTTATAAAACAGAACAATTCTGGGCTAACAACAAGTAAATAGGGCTATGCCTCATACAAACTAGTCAGTGTGTTTTTATACACGGAATCACTGGAATTTAGTTTCTCATTAATATAATCTTACATTATATATGTCTCTGGGACTTTGTTGAACTCAGATATGAAAGTTTAGGTCCCAGTATTGTACATAACTTTGGACTATAAAAACATCTAGTCTCTCCTGGAATCCTGGTGTGGTGCCATTGGATAAGCACTGGACCTCAAGGTTGTTTTGAACCTCAAGGTCACTGGTTCAAACCCACCAGCTGCTCCTTAGAAACCCTATACAGAATTGCTATACGTGGAACCAATTCAACAGCACTTAACAACAACATCAGCAACAATAACATCGTTTCTCTCAGACTGCATAGGTGATAGGTGTGTGTAGCAATAAAGTTTCAATTAAATTCTCAAGTCTGCTTTATAGATCTGGGTATGTTAGTAATTTACTCTGTGAACATTGTAGAATTGTAACTGTCAGTGATTTTGATGAAAATGGTGAATTAAATAACTGTTGAAGGAGTAATTCATCATTAATTGTGTTATACAAAAGATAGAAATGTGTTTCAGACATATTCTCTAAATTTTCAGATTATTTATATTAGAATGAATACAGCCCCCTCACTCCAATTGATTAAAAAACAACAACAACACACACACAAAAATAATTAAATAAAAACAAGCAAACAATTTTCATTCTATTTGTTTAAATGCACCTGTTGGTAGCTTTGCTCTGCAATTTTTGAAAATCTATTTTTGATTACATGAAGGGGTTTATGAAAGACACATTTTACCCCCTTCTACTCCCACCTATTAATTATAGGAGGTGGGAGGGAATGTTCTTCTGACATAAATCCTAAAAGTAAAATGTCTTAATCTGGATTAATTTCCGAATTTGAAAGGCATTCCATTTGCTAAACATTTGAATCTTCTGACTTGCCTGAAGGGTGTGTTGTCTTATCCTTTTTCAAGCAAGTCACTAGACATTACCAGACATTTAAGCACTTCTGCCTGAGGGAGACTGTGGCAAATGCATGGATAACAATGGTTTAAAGCCATACCACAAAAACACAAACAATTTTATATTCTGTATTATATTTTACAGAATAAATTAACCCTTCATTTCCTGCCTGCCATAACCCTACCAATATGCAGTTTAAACTTTCAAAAAAATTCTTTTTCATTCTATATGTCCATTGAATATTTTTCTATTTGATTCAAGTGTGTTCTTATCCTCTTAAAGACTCAATCAATATTATTACAGTAACAGTTGTCACTAAAACACATCCATGGGCACAATAAATGAAAAGAAGCTACTTTTCTACCTTAATAATTATTGTTGTTAAGTGCCGTTGAGTCGACTCTGACCCATAGCAACCCTATATAGGGTTTCTGAGGAGCAGCTGGTGAGCTTGAACCACCAACCTTGCAGTTCAAACGGCTTTGCAGTCTGGCGCATTAACCCACAGCACCACACCAGGACTCCCTTAATAATAGATGTCTAAAAATGACAGATTGTTTAGGCTAAAAGGGGTAATATAGAAGATGGGTCTAGAGAAAGAAGAGGGAGTCTCTGGGTGGTGCAAATAGTTAAGATACTTGGCTGCTAGCCAAATGGTTGATGGTTCAAGCCCATGTGAGGCATGTTGGAAAACAGTCCTGGCCTCCTACTTTTGAAAACTCAGCCATTGAAAGCCGTATGGACATGTCAGGTGAAAAGAGACTCCATGACAGGTGGTGATACTGATCAAAGAAGAGCAGCTTGCACCGAAATTGAGGGGCAGCTGGACAGGCAGCTAGCTGACTCTAGAAGAACTTAGTGGATGGAAGTTAAGCAGAGAGCAGATTTTAGGAGGAGAATATAGTCAGCTCTGGTGAACACTGAGGAATTAACAAAAAGGAAGGCAGAAAAGAATGAAATTTGTGAACAGTTTTAGAAGCATGTATTGGGGACAGAATTCTGCTGGACTGTTTTTTATGTATTCCTTTTAAATAATTAAATACATGGCACAATCACAGAAATGTGTCAAGCACCAGTGATAACACAAAAAGGTGGAAGTCTTTATCTATAAGGTTCTTGATATGCATTTTGGAAAAAAATGTTTATATATATATATGTGTGTCTGTGTGTGTGTATGCATTCTAGTTAAATGCCATTGAGTCAGTTCTGACTCACAGTCACCCTGTATAGGATTTCCAAGAGGCACTGGTGAGTTTGAGCTCCCAACCTTGTAGTTCAAACTGACCTTGCAGTCCAGTGCTTTATCCCACAGTACTACACCAGGACTCTTCTTTGACTATGACTACAGTTATTGCTGTTGTTAAGTGCCCTTGAGTCAGTTCTGATTCATAGTGCTCCTGTATAGGATTTCTAAGGAGCAGCTTGTGAGTTTGAACCATAGATCTTGTGGTTCAAACTGACCTTGAGTTGGAGTGCTTATCCTAAGGTACCATACCAGGACTAGACCACTAGTGGACAGAAAATAAGCTTAGAAATACTATTGCATTGATTTATTTTCTTTCTCTTTTTGTAGTCTTTGTGACCCAGCTTCATTTTTTTCCTTAATATGCTAAGATATTCTAAGTAAATCTCCCCAAAGACTAATGTTCTAAATAATAACTGCAGTGTATGGAGATTATTGTGCAAGGGTTAGTGTGTCACTGTGGTTATTGTACATTTGGGTTTTGCCTGAGTTCCAAATAGCTTTCAATTTTCACGCTCCATAAATAGTGTGTGGTTTTTTTAAATTCCAGTGTGGTTCAAGTAATGTTTCTCCAACTAGTCTTCTCTTTAAATTTTTACTAAAACTAGTATTATCATTGAAATTAAGATTTATAAAATACTAATCTTAATTGCCACTAATAATCATTACATAATCTCATATATAATAAAGCAGTGTGGTTTTTAAAATATTTATTTTAAGGATTTCTGTGTAATGGAATTGTCTTTTTCTTCTAAGTTTTTATTGTAAATTGAGTGATAGTTTACATTGGAGAACATCGGTTTTTTACACCATTTTTTCACTGGAATAGTTTTTTAAAAGCTAAAAGCAATGGATTGGTTTTTGGAACTACATTATCTTGGTCTTTGCTATGTTGATATGCCTGCTCATTATTATTTTAATTTGATGATTTATAATATCTGGCTTTCTCCTGTTATATATTTTGGCCCAGATCTTGTATAGAGTAGAGGAGAGATAATGTGCCTAGTGTTAGGATACTTACGTGTTGTTGTTGTTGTTGCTAAGTGCCATTGAGTAGGCACCAACTCATAGTGACCCTGTATAGGGTTTCTGAGGATTAGCTGGTGAGTTTGAACTGTGAACCTTGTGGTTCAAACTGACCTTTTGGTCTAGTGCTTTATTCTGCAGTGTCACATAAGACAAAAAATTAAAACAAAATTTTAAAAAAGCTTAGCCACTAAGAACTAAAATGCTGGCCAGAAATACAGACATAAATAAGTAGATAATAATATGGAAATTTATGTGCATATCAAAGTGTCTTCTTGGCCTACTAATCATGCCTTGAGAGGATCCTGAGTTTATTCTTAATAGCTAAATAGGGGATAATCACTTGATGGGGAGTAAAAAACTTCATCAAGTATAAACATCAGTGTGGAGATATGGGTTTTACATGTTGAGGAAGAAGATAGTGAGAGAGATGTCAGAGTGGTCGGGCAGATGCAAGACTAGGGTTGGCTCTGATAACTTTTATTAAAATTTGGGATTCACTCCATAGTTGAATTAAAAAAAACCAGCATGCTCAAATTGTATTTGAGGTAGATCATCCTGGCAGATTTAATACTGGATGGCATAAAGTAACATAAGATGGGAGGAGGAATACAATGAGGGCCTATCTTGTTATGGGGTAATAGGCTGGAGAGAAGAGCATAGAGTTAAGTATTTGTAAGGTTAAAGGACAGAATTGGGTGCTTAATTGAATAGCACATACAGGATGTCAACAAAGCTAACAACCACAGCATATATGTAAAGGATATATGTTCTTTTTGTTGTTGTTAAGTGCCATCGAGACAGTACTGACTCATGACAACCCTATGCACAACAGAATGAAACATTGCCCAGTCCTGCACCAACCTAACAATTATTGCTATGTTTGAGCCCATTGCTGCTGCCTCTGTGCCAATCCATCTCCTTGGAACTCTTCTTTTTTTCCAACCCTCCACTATACCAAACATAATATCCTTCTCCAGGAACTGGTCCTTCCTAACAATATGTCTGAAGTGTGAAAGTGTGGTTATCCTGGCTTCTTCCAAGGAGCATTCTGGCTGTACTTCCTCCAACACAGATCTGGGTTGGTTTTTCTTTTTTTGTCATTCCATGGTTATTTTAATATTCTCCCCAACACCACAACACAGATCTATCACTTCTTATGTGGTCTGTCTTATTCACTGTCCAAATTTGTCATGTAAATGAGGTTATTGAATATACAATGGCTTGGGTTAGGCACACCTTAGTCTTCAAACTGACATCTTTACTCTTCAACCTTTAAAGAGCACTTGTGCACCAGATTTGCCTAGTGAAATTCATCATTTGATTTCTTGACTGCTGCTTCCATGAGTGTTGATGTTTGAATTGAGAAAAATGAAGTCTTTAACAACTTCAATCTTTTCTCCATTTATATGGATGTTTATTGGTCCAGTGGTGAGGATTTTTGTTTTCTTTACATTGAGGTGCAACCCATATCAAAGGCTGTGGTCTT